GCTGGGCGCGGGGCTCCGGCGGCCGCTGATGGGAGGCGGCGCCCGGGCGGGCGAGCCACGGCGCGGCTGCCACCATGGGGAACAAGCAGACCATCTTCACCGAAGAGCAGCTGGACAACTACCAGGTGAGCCGGCGCCCGCGCCCCTGCTCTTCGCCCCATTGCTTGCTGAGGGCTCCGAAAGCCGTTTCACCAGGGTTCACACTCTGCCTCCGCCTTGGCTCGCAGTGTGACCTTGGGCCCCTGACGTCCACTCGCTGAGCCTCAGTTTCCCCATCCAGGGCATGAGTGCGCTTTCCAGTTGGAAGAATCAGGCTCACCGAGCTCCAGCTCTCCCCTTCTGCATTCGGCCTTCTTCCTCCCCTCTGTGGGCTGGACCTGAGCCCTCCCCAGCTTCCCCCTCAGTGCTCACCCCTGTGCAGGGTCAGCCAGCTGGGCCCCCGTGCCCAGTACCAGGAGAGCGAGTCTCTAAAGCAGGTCCAAGCTGGAGTTCTATCTGGGCTCGGAGTCAGGTGTATCCGTGCCCAAAGGCGGTCTTAACTTGGGGGTGCCCTGTTTATTTGTTGGGGGTCTCTCCCTCTGACCCCAGAAGGGAGATAATGGGAACAGACACCAGCCTTCATGGCCACCTCCCCAAGCATCCCAAGGCCCCCTAGCAGCCACCCATTAGACCTTGGGGGGTCTCCCTGCCTCCAGGTTGGCTGTCCACATCTAGGGCCCCAAGACCCACCTCCCAAGCCCCGACTGGCCAGGTAAATGTTTTCTGTGGTTGCAGGATAAAGCCTCCACCACTTGCCCAGAGCCCCCACCTTCTGGCCAGCTCCCCTCTGCAGTGTCAGCCCATCCCCTTCCCTGGCCTCTCCTGCAGCCCCCAGGAGCCACCTGTGGGACTCCTGCCTCGCCAGGCTCTCTCCTCCCGCCTCCCTTTGCCCCTGCTGCTTCCTGGCCTGGGCCGGGTTCCCCCTTCTCTCAGGTGATCTTTCTCACCCTTTAAGGCACAGCTCTGATGCTGCTTCTGACTCCCCCAGGCAGAGGGGGTGGGACTGTGTTGTCACCTATGTCGCTGGGGGAGTCCCTGTAGGCCCCTGCTGCCTTCGGCTAAAGGAGAGCAGGCCTGAGGTGTGGGCTCTCCTGTGCGGTGGAGGTGAAATACAGGCCCTTTTTCCTCCCAGAAGCCCTGGTTGTCCGTGGCATGACTTGTCAGTTCCCAATGGGGCCTGGAAGAAGGGGCCCCATTCTGGAGCCGCTGCCATGGACCAGCTACTGTGGCCAATGCTGCTGTCACCTCCGTTGGTCCTCACAGCGAGATGGGTTTGCATCCCATTTCACTGACGTGCAGACAGAGGCCGAGCAGCCATTCAGTACCCTGGCCACTCAGGGCTCAGGCAGGAATCGAATTCCTGAACCCAAGGCTCTCTTGTCAGGGGTGGGCTGGACTGGGCTGTGTGACACAGGGTGGCCCCGGTGCTAAGGCAGGTGGGGGAGTGTGTCCTGGGGGGTGGGCACCCATGAGCAGTTGTGGCAACATTGAGGAGCTTCTGCCTCCCCTGGAGGCTCAGAAGCACTGAGGTGCTTGAGCAGGCACCGGGACACCGGCGGGGTTTTGCTGAGCAGAGCAGGGTCGGGAAGGGGGTTTAGCAGGAGGCACACCCTGGCTGGAGGCAGGAGTGGAGGCAGGGAGGTGGGCTCAGGCAGCTCAGCCCAGTAGTGGGAGTGGAGAGCCCAGGCTCCCTCTCAGCCCTGCCTGGCATCAGGTTACCCCCGAGCCAGTCCCAGTATTGGGTTCTGATCCTTTGCCAGGCCAGGCTAGACCTGCAGGGTGGGGTGGGGGGAAACAAGATCTGTGAAACCTGAGAGCCCCACATTTCCCCTCCAGCTCCCAGCCAGCCCTGGCCAGCCAGGGCCTGGCGGGGTGACCCTGAGTTATAACATCCCCTCCTCCCAGTGACCCCATTTCTTGGGGCTTCCTGGTCTTGCAGTCTTACCTTCCCACGGCAGGGCACCCCCTTCCTGCTTCCCAGGTACCTGTGAGTCCCAGGGCTCATCCTGGCCTGCTCTGGGCTCACTCAGCCAGCCTCGGCCAACTCCATCTCCCCTCTTGCTCCCCAAGTTCTTTGTCCTCCTGGGGTCTTCTCCCTTCCCCTCCCAACCTGGTTCTGCCCACCTGTCTCTCTAGGCCAGCCCTCGCCTCTTTGGGAAGGGCTCCCTAACCCCCTGCCCTGAGCCTGCTCAGCTGGGATCACTCAGAGAGCCGTGACCCCTGCACAGCCCAGCCGGCACGTGGCGCTGAGCGGTCTATGCCACGTTCGCCTCCTCTCCCTTCCTCGTGGGCCCTGCCCAGGCACAGAGGAGCCCTTTCAGCACGTTCCACGGAATGAATGAACAGACACTTGTTAGGGTCTGGCTCTGGGAGGACAAGGAACTCCAGGCAGGGATTCCGAAGTCCTAGATTCAGTCAGAGTTGGGCAGTTTATACTGTAGGTCATAGGAAGTCACTGTTGCCTCTGGGCCTCAGTGTCCCCACCCCTAAAATGGGACTAACTGCCAACCCAGCTATGCTCATGTCATGTCCTGGCATGGGGCTCTCCAGGGGACCAGCTGAGATCCCTCCAGAGCCTGACCTCGAGCTGCGCTATGGACCGACAGACAGAGAACTGCTCTGCTCTAGCTGGGATGGGCTGGGGCTCGGCCCTGCCTGTGGGCACAGGCAGGCCAGGGTGGGAAGGGGAGGCCGGGAGGCTGCTGGAACAAGCAGCCCTTGAGGTGAGCTTGGAGAAGGGACAGTCAGAGAAGTGGCTAGGGGAGCAGTGTGAACGCAGGCCTGGAGTTAGAACTCGCGCCTCCACTGGTTGACATTTGGGCTCACACAGGAAGGGCCCAGCAGGTCCCTCTTTCTGCTCCTGGAGTCCTGATAACTCACTGCTCCTGGGCTGGGTCCTCCTCCTCCCTCACTCCACCTTTGTGACCCTGAACTGAGCTCTGATCTTTGCCGGAATACCTGTCCCTGTGTCCCTGTGGATTGTTAGAGACCAGGTAGTAATGGGGGTGTTTGCTCCCAGGAAGAATTCCCACAGACATGTGGCTGTACTTAGTCATGGGGCAGTGGCCAATGAGCCCTGGGGCAAGCTAGGGACCTTCACTGATTCTCAAGTTTTGGTTCACTTGTTTGTTTCTAAGAAAGGGAGAGGGGCTAGCCATGCTACAGTTCTTTCTTCTCCATTCTCCTCTTGAGATTTTGGGCATGCACGCACATGCACCTGGCATGTTTTTCAAGCCTCTGGGTCCAGGACTCGAACCACATATTTGATTGTGTGGGATCCAGCCCTTAACCACCACACCACCTGGCTGGCCTAACTGAGCCTCGGTTTTCCCATCTATAAAATAGGAAGGTAATGCCTGCCCTCATAGGCCAGCGGTGAGGGTTAAACACAGCCGGCTACTGGGGGCCCCGGGTGCCTACACACGGTCACTGCGTCCTGACTGCAACGGGTTCCCTCGGCCGCCCACTGAGCTCACCAAGTGGCTTTGGAAACCCAATGCCTGGGTCCCCTCAGGGATTCCTGTCTAACTGGGCTGGGTCAGCTCCCAGGTGACCCGCTCCAGAGCAGCCGTCCTCACACCTCAGCATGCCTCCGCATCTCTGGAAGGGCTTTCCCGAATGCAGCTTCCTGAGCTGACCCCCAATTTCTGTAGATCTGGAGTGGAGCCTGAGAATCTGCATTCCCACCAAGTGCCAGCAAGGCTGAGGTGGCTGGGCTGGAACCGCCCTTAAGGACCGGCGATTTAGAGAGCTGTGAGCACTGTGGTTGCCCTGCGAGGCCAGGGTTGGGTAGGAAGCTTCGCATCATCAGCATTATTATTATTTTGGTTATTGCCATAGGGCGCATGTGCTTGCTGGAGAGAGACAGAGAGAGGGGAAGTGAGAAATTATCCCCCAAAGGGGTGGCCATGCCACAATCCCTTCTCCTTCATCCTCCTCCCTGGATTTTGGGCATGCACACACACATGCCCGGTGTGATTCTCAGGCTGCTGGGTCTGGGACTCAAACCGAGGTCGGCCAGCACCTTAAGCTCCACAGCATCTGCCGGCCCCGCTTCTGCATCTTTTCCCAGTGGAACCTCAGGTCGAGACCTGAGGCTTCCTTTGCAACCTAGGGGATGGGAGAGAGGCAGGAGAGGAGAAAGAGGACAGACTGGGGAGAGCGCAGGGGCCAGGACCTCCCCCCTGCTGCCCTGGTCTAGTTGGAAGAGGCCTGGCCCTTCTTGCTGGGCCCCTTCAGACCGCAGAACTGGCCGCGGGATGGAGGGGTGGAGGAGGCAGGGGTGCTGGGCCTAGTCTAACTCCTTAGAGCAGAAGTGGGGTAGGACAGACTCGCTGGTCCAACAGGGCCTGGGAATTGCACCCACCCTCCCCTCTTCAGCTCTCTGGGAGGCGCCCGGTGGACCCCACGCTGCCGCTGTGCCTGTGGGCATCCTTTCTCGGTCCCCTCCACATGCGTCCATTTGTCCTGATGTCCAGCAGCTTCAGGTCTTGGCCATGGCAGACCTGGCTGTCTGCAAGCCTGGACCACGGCCATTCCCCGAGAGCCAGGGCTGGTTAGTTCGCAGCCCCAGGAGGCCCCACAGGCTCTGGGCCTGGCAGAGCTTCTGAGGTCTCCTGCTCTGCCACAGCTACGAGCCAAGGCCGAGGGCCAAACGGCAGGGGTGTGTGTAAGAGCCCTCTGCCGGAAGCATTCACCCCTGGCTCCTAATGGCTGAGGCCCATCTTGGGCAGGCCACTGTGGACAATAGCAGGTCACCTAGACAGACAGATTCCCAGGGATGAGCTGACAGTCTCAGGGCCCCAGGCCCCAGTGCTGCCCTGCCCTGACTGAGCCCCCCCCCATCCCCGGTCCACCCTCTCTGCCAGGTGCTACCTGTCCCCCCTGCCCCTGCCTCTTCCCACACCCTGAGTGTGGCCACGCCCTTCCCACGCAGCCTCATCTCTTCCCCCGGCGTCAGATGCCAGACATGCACCCATGCATACCCTGCCTCTGCCTGATCGCGGCCTTGGAGCAGGGGCAACTGCTGCGACCACTGTGGACCCACACACACCGCACGGCCCCCCCGAGGGCCATCTCAGGCCCACTGCCTCCCGGCCCCCTCCCTCCGTTCTCCCACAGGCATCCCTAGCCCTCAGTTCGTCCTCATACCCCTGCGATTCCTCCATCTCCCCTGCACGTGCGCCCCAAGGGTGCTGCCCCGCATGCCCTTAGTTCCCAGACCTCCCTCGGGACAGTCAAGGCATTTTCTGGACCCATGAGGATCGCCGTCCCCGGAGGCTGGGGTGGGTGGGACTGCCTGCTCACCCCCAGTCCAGAGCCCATCCTGGGAGGCCCTGTGGTGGGTGTCGAGGGCTCTGAGGAGTCCGGGAGCCGGGTGTCCTAACCACAGCGCTTCCCCCCCCCCCCCCCCCCGCCGGGCGAC